TCAGGGGCATCTGGCTTTCACGGACTTCACACACCTGGGAAGGCGCGGCCTCGGTGGCCGGCGCCTCCTGCCTCGCCAGTCGCAGGTGCCGGCCGCCAGTTGGCTGGGGATTGTGCGGCGAGGCACCGCCTGCCCGTGGACAGGCGCCGCTGCCCCAGCCCAGCCGGGCGGTGCCCAGGCCTCCCTCACGCCCTCCCCTTGTGTCCTCCAGGGCGCCGGGCCAGCCCAAGATTGACCACCTGCGGAGGCTGCACCTGGGGGCCTACCCCACGGAGGAGTGCAAGGCCTGCACCAGGTGAGCTGGGGTGGTGGGCTGTAGACGGAGGACACGGGCAGCCGCGGGAGGTCCTGCGAGTCTGTCGGCTGTCGGAAGGGGCCGGGTAACCGTGAAGCCCACGTAGCCCAGTGACCCACGTGCAGAGAATAAGCTGTGGCGACCGCGGTGCAGCAACCCGCCCTCCAGCTTCCCATGCGTCCCCAGGAAACCGAGGCCCAGAGTGCCATGTGACTCCCAGGGTTATGCCTCTAGGGAGTGCCTGAGCCAGGATTAGAGCCCCAACCACCCATACAGTGTCCGGGTGCCCCCCGGAGGGGGCACCGGAGCCAGGATGGAAGGGTGCCGAGTGGTTGCTGGCGTAGGCACGGGGAACAGCATTCCTGGCGGGCGAAACAGCGCGTGCAAAGGCCCCGTAGCAGGTGGCAGTGTAGCACGGTGGGGAATAGGCTGGAGGGATGGTGGGGCAGACGGAGGTCCCGCCAGAGGGACTACCCCACCCACCACAATCTCTGCAGGTGTGGCTGCGTCACCATGCTCAAGTCGCCCAACAGGACCACGGCCGTCAAGCAGTGGGAGCAGCGGTGGATCAAGAACTGCCTGTGCGGCGGGCTGTGGCGGCGGGTGCCCCTCAGCTACCCCTGACCCCAGTCCGCTGTAAATGGACTTCTGCCCCTTGTGATGGGACACTGTCCCCGCTGGTGAGGGATCCCACACACCGGACTCTGATTGGGTGTGTTAAAAAACCCCTGGTCCGGGCAGGTGGCTGCTGCGAGAGGAAACCAGACGAAACTGTAAGCACTGTCGGAGGCGCACGGCGGGCAGAGAGCGAGCGCCTCGGGCAGGGCCCTCCGCGATTAGCTGGAGCAGGTGAGAGACGGCTCCGCCAGCCTTGGTGTTTGTCCATTGCGGGGCCACGGCCCATGTGCCCCCCTCCCAGGACCCCCGGATCCCAAGGAACATGTCTGGATGCCTGGAGTCCTGGCTCAGAGGGTCCAGGACAGCTGGGTGTCTGAGCATATACTTCAGTTGACTCTGCTCTGGGTTCCTGCCTCGGTTGCCCCCCCCCCCGTACCTGTGGAGAGGCTTTTGAACCTGGGCAAGCCCGGCTGGGAAGGAGTGGCTCAATAAACATGCCTCTGCACCCCAGGCCTCGTGTCACTGTCGGCTGTGGCCCCCAGCAACCCTGGGCCCTCCCTGGCCTCACCCCTGTGATCCTAGTGCACGCTGGGCCAAGGGGTGCCTGCAGCGAGTCTCGGGGGAGGGAGGCCTTGCGCAGTGCACGTCTCTGCTGACTCTGCCCCGGCTGCTGCCGCTGCAGCCCCTCCCCCACCTGGGCCCTCAGTCCCCAGCGCTGGGCTTCTGGCCAGCTCTGTCCTGTCCCCCAGGGGTCCTGCCTTCTGCCGCCAACAAGCACTTCTGCCGATTATGTTCCACTCCCCGCTGGCCTCCGAGGCGGAAAGGCTGTGGCCAGACGCAGCGCCCGCCGGTTAAGTGGTAATTGGCTCGCTTGTTCGCACTGTGCAGGGCTCGGGGGCGGCAGGCAGGGCGGGCGCCCCGCTGAGGGGAGTGCGGCTGCACACGCGTCTTGGGCTGTGCCCGGCAGGAGCTCAGGAGCCCCGTGACCTGGACCGGGGGCCACCTGCCTGCGGCTGCTGACTCAGGTGGCGTCCGAGTCCCTATAGTCACAGCTTCCCGCAGGGACCTGGGGCTGCTGGGCCCTTGGCCGGTGATGTCCATCCCCTCCCAGCTGGCCGCCCACTGCCGCCTACAGGAGCGGCAGACCCTGCGCCTTGGCGCAGCCTGGGTGGGGCGACCGGGCCGGCGGTCACTGCCCTGTGGGTGGAGCCGCGAGAGGCGTCTCCACTAGCAGACCCAGCAACGGTGACCTGGCTGTGCAAACCATCTTCTCCTCCCCAAAATGGGGGAACATCGGTTCTGGGGTTCTGGGGAGTGGGGAGGTCAGAGCCCTGCACAATCGGGTCCCTGGCCGAGGCCTGGACGGGCCCCCGCTGCCCGTCTAGCTCCTGACCACAGGCCGAGCAGGAACCCAAGGGGCGTCCACACTGTAGACGGCAGACCGTGCCTGAAACTGCCGTCATGAGCTGTCTGGGAGCACCTGGCTCTTGGGGGCAGAGTGGGGGTGGGGTGCCCACTGGAGTCACCTGCTGGAATGTTCCGTGAAGGCAGAAGGAGGCTTGTGGGCCATTATCCCCACCATCGGGGCCCTACAACGTCCTCATAGCCGCACAATTCCCACCTCGGATCAACAACAGCTAAACCGTCTCCTCCAGAACCTTCAGTGGCTCCCGCTGACCCCAGGGTGGGGTGACAACACCCAGGGAGTGTTGGAGCCAGCCAGGCCAGGTCCCTGCTGGGCCACAAACCCGGGGCCCCGCCCACCGTGGGCACTGAGCTGGGCCTCAGTGTTGGGCAGTGCGGCTGTTCCACTCGCCGGCCCGCTTATTCGCGCCTGAGAACCAGCATACCTGTGGGGGACTCACCAGACGGCCGAGCCAGGTCAAAGGGCGACAAAGTGGCTCCTGAGTTTGAGCGCAGAAGCCCCCAACTCTGAGAGCTAAAAGGCAAATGGTATTTAAACGTCTCCTGCCAGCCCTGTGCCCAGACTGCGCCCCTGCCTGGGAGCCGCCAGCCCCATCTGTCGGATACCCCCAGACCCCTCCCTGCCCTCCCCAGGCCGGGGCTCCCTTCTCCCTCCTGGCCCCCGCCCCCCCACTCCTCACGCCCTGCTCTCGTATAAGTATGTCCCACATACCAAGTGGGATATACTGAGAAAAAGCATTTGTTGTTTATTTGCCATTCCCATTTAACTGCACATACTCACTTGCTAAATTTGGTGATCCTTCCTGCCCTCCTCCCACCAGGGTCATTTTTAAGCCACTCTCTGGCGTCATCGTTTCAGGAAATACTTGTGGGATGAATGAATCTTTGATGACTGGATTACCATTCATTTCCCCTCCAATTTAAATGCCCTAAGACTTTAAAAATTACACACGAAATTCACAAACATTGAGGACAACCTTATGGCAGCCATTGACGGCTAAATGAATTTACGTTCCAGGTGATGGGACACTCACTGAGCTCCTGTGAGCCGCGCTGTGAGGCTGCGTGTGCAGCGCCCGGCACACGGTGTGTGCTCAACAAGTGCTCGTGTGCGCGTGTCCTTCCAAGCTGAATACTCCATAGTAAGAAAAGGAAACCCCGGCCGGGCGCGGTGGCTCACGCCTATAATCCTAACACTCTGGGAGGCTGAGGGGGGCGGATCGCTCAAGGTAAGGAGTTCAAAACCAGCCTGAGCAAGAGTGAGACCCTATCTCTACTAAAAATAGAAAGAAATTAATTGGCCAACTAATATATATAGAAAAAATTAGCCGGGCATGGTGGCGCATGCCTGTAGTCCCAGCTACTCAGGGCTGAGGCAGAAGGATCACTTGAGCCCAGGAGTTTGAGGTTGCTGTGTGCTAGGCTGACGCCACAGCACTCTAGCCCAAGCAACAGAGCGAGACTGTGTCTGAATAAAAGAAAAGAAAGGGAAACCCAGGCACAAGTTCCAATTCCATCTCCCCGTTTCACCTCTCAGACCCTCAGTCTCTTTTTCTTTTTTTTTTTTTTTTTTTTTTTTTGAGACAGAGTCTCGCCTTGTTGTCCAGGCTAGAGTGAGTGCCGTGGCGTCAGCCTAGCTCACAGCAACCTCAAACTCCTGGGCTCGAGTGATCCTTCTGCCTCAGCCTCCCGGGTAGCTGGGACTACAGGCATGCGCCACCATGCCCGGCTAATTTTATATATATATATCAGTTGGCCAATTAATTTCTTTCTATTTATAGTAGAGATGGGGTCTCGCTCTTGCTCAGGCTGGTTTTGAACTCCTGACCTTGAGCAATCCGCCCGCCTCGGCCTCCCAAGAGCTAGGATTACAGGCGTGAGCCACAGCGCCCGGCCCTCAGTCTCTTTTTCAACAAAAGGGAGGCCATGAACCCATTTGTGGGCCAGGCTGAAACCTGGCACCTAGTAGGTGCTGGACCTCACAGCCCTTCCTCCCGGCAGGAGAAAGGGCACAAGCACAGGGCCTTGGGTCTGGGTTCTGCCCCCATCACCTCCCTGTTGGTGCTCAGAAAGGGCAGTGAGTCACCGGGCCCTTCAGCAGGTGCAGCTGCTCTAGGAAGCCACCAACCTTCCTCATCAAGCGAACCTGGCAGCACCTGGCGGTGGTTTCTAAGCTGCTGCTCTGGCTTAGGGTCCAGACTGTCCCAGAGCTTTTTCGTGATCCCAGGAGAATCACACAGCCCCTCCGAGCCTTGGTTTCCCTGTCTGGGATGCAGGTCATAAGAACACAACTTCAAAGGGTCACCTGTGCACCTAAATCTTAACCCAGAGCAGACTTCTGCACCCAGTGGGCCATCACGGTCCACTAGGGAAGCAAAGAGAAAGCTGGACATTAAAGGGGACACCCTCCCACGCCCCCTTCCCCGACTTTCAGGGAAGAGTATCGGCGCCCCCGTGTGGCTGAGTCTCGAATCGACACCCACCTCTCCGCCCCCCCAGCTTCTGCCGGAGGTCCCCCGGCCAGGTGCGCGCTGGCAGCTCACCTGCCAGCACTGTGTCACCAGTTCCCACGCTTTTGTTCCTGGCTTCCCGCCTCCCCCCAGCCCGGTTCACCTCCCTCGAGGTCCTGCATGCAGTACGTGCTCAATAAAAACCGACTTGATGCAGGAGTGAATGACTTTATTGCTCGGGCCCCCCAAGGTGACCGCGGACGCTCTGGACACCCTCCTCAGGCCGCCTTGTCCTGGGCCAGGACACCGTCGATCCAGGCCATGTAGCTGCCCACGCGAGTGTAGATCCCGGGCCTCCTGCGGTTGCCGCAGACTCGCGAGCCCGAGGTGACCACGCCCTCGAGCACGCCCTGGCACACCAGCGGGCCCCCGGAGTCCCCCTGCAGGGCAGGCCAGGGGGGCAGGTCCATCCAAGCTCCAGCTTCTGCCGGCAATTCCCGCTCTTTCCTCCGGCCCCAATCGCGTTCCTCACTGATCCATTTCCCCGGCCACGCCCATCACGACAGGCCCCACGCCCACGCCCCGCCCCTCCCTCTAAGCCGGCCCCCAGCTGCTGGCCCCGCCCCCTCGGGCTGACCTGCTCCGAGTCTCGCCTTGTCCGCCCCGACGCCGCCCCACTCCAGGCCCCCTTCAATCTTAGGCCCTCAACCCTGCCCTCTCCAGACGGCCCAGCTCCCACCTCTCCTAACTGCGCCGACCTGTCTCAGCGACCACCCCTCAGCTCAACCCCAGCCCCGAGCTTGTCCCAATCTCGGCCCTGGCTTCAGCCTGCCCCAGGCCGCACCCCTGCCCAGGACCCGCCTCTCCTCCCAGCCCAGCCCCACCACCCCCTATTAGCCCCACCCCTCCACTGGGCCACACCCTCTCCACAGGCCCCGCCCCATCTAGGGCCCGCCCCTCCACGCGCCACGCCCCTTCTCGGCCCGCCCCGTGCACCTTGCAGCTGTCGCGGCGGTTGCTCTCCGCGCACATCATGCGCGGGGTGATGGTGCCGTCGTGGTAGGTGCGCAGGTTGCAAGTGGCGCGGTCGAGCACCGGCAAGAGCACGTGCTGCAGGCGGTCTGGCCGGCGGCCCGCGTGGCTGACCACGCCCCAGCCGGCCACGTCGCAGAGAGTGCCGGGTGCCACGTCGCGGTCCACGCGCTGCCAGGGCAGGGGGCGCACGGCAGGCCCCAGCACAGCCTTCTCAGACAGCTGGGAGGTGGACGGAGGCAGACGTCAGAGTTGGGGGGCGTGAGGTGCCTAGCAGGAGAGACTGCCTCTAGGCTTGGTGGATCGGGGTTGCGGGGAGGTGGGCATCACGGTGAGCACGAGAAACAGTGCAGCAGGAGAGACTGTGGCTAGACTCGGGGTGGGGATACACATGGTGGTCCCCATGCAGCAGGAGAGACTCCGGCTAGACTCGGGGTGGGGAGTACACATGGGGGTCCCCATGCAGCAGGAGACACTGCAGCTAGACTCGGGGTGGGGTACACATGGGGGTCCCCAATGCATCAGGAGAGACTGTGGCTAGACTCGGGGTGGGGAGTACACATGGGAGTCCCCATGCAGCAGGAGAGACTGTGGCTAGACTCCGGGTGGGGGTACACATGGGGGTCCCCATGCAGCAAGAGAGACTGCGGCTAGACTGGAGGTGGGGGTACACATGGGGGTCCCCAATGCATCAGGAGAGACTGTGGCTAGACTCGGGGTGGGGGTACACATGGGGGTCCCCATGCAGCAGGAGAGGCTGCAACTAGACTCGGGGTGGGGGTACACGTGGGGGTCCCCATGCAGCAGGAACTGCAGCTACACTAAGGGGGGGTTCACGTGGGGGTCCCCATGCAGCAGGAACTGTGGCTGCACTCGGCCAACCTGCAGCAGGAGGAGGTCGTGGTCGATGGTGTCTGGCCGGCTGTCCGGGTGGGGCACTGCGCGGCGCACGTCATACAGGCGCTTGGAGGGCTCAGGCTGCGACAGGGAGTGCGCGCCCAGGAGCACCTGCACCTTCCCTTCGGCCCTGGGGACGGGGCGGGGACCACGGCAGGTGAGAGCCGATCCCCCCCCACCCCCCACCCCCCATGTGCTCCGTGTGGCGGCACTCACGTGTCCTCCAGGCAATGCGCGGCGCTCAGCACCCACTGCTCGGCCACCAGGACGCCCCCGCACCGGTGCTGGCCGTCCACCTGCACCGACGCCATGTAGGGCCGCGCGTGGGCCTCGGCCTCGCGGCCCCCCAGGATCCGGCCTCGGGGCTGTGCCGCTGTGCGGGGACACGAGGGCGTGAGGACCCAGGGGTGGACCGGCTGGGCCCTTTCTAGGCCCCTTGCAGCCCCCAGGCCACCCCAGCCCCTCTCTGACCCCACATTCCAAGTCCGTCTGCACCCCCACTGGCCCCCGGGGAGGGAACCCACAGGGAGGACGCCCAGGGCAGATTCCAGCCTTACACCCAGGGCCAACACTTCTAATTCAACGCAGGGAAAACCGCGTACTCAGGCCAGCCTCCTTGGCCCCGCCGGTGGCCGTGTTTGCAGAATTTCAGACTCTCGTGGTGGTGAGAGCTCAGATTTCAGATCCAAACTTTCAAGAATTCCTGGAGTTGGACAGCTTTCCATTCCCGGAGACTCTACCCCCCGGCCCCCGCGTTCTGCCCACCCGGAGCGCTGGGACGGTCCTGTCCGACGGGGGGCACCCGCTGGCCCCCCTACAGCCCGCTGGCCCAGCCCCAGCCCACTCACCGCACAGGGCCGCGGCTAGGAGCACCAGAGCCGCCAGGAGCGCTGGGCTGCGCATGGCGAAGCCGCTGTGGCCTTGACGCTGGCCCGGGCTGGCCCCTGGGTGCTTTTATGAGGGCGGAGGGGCGGGTGGCTCCCACGGGCCTCTCTGCGGCGGGCAGCCGCCCAGCTGGGGAAAGGGGAAACTGTGGCCCAACTCCCACCCTCCCCAGGGGCGGGTCATCTCCTGCCAGACTTGCACCAGTAGACAGGCCACAGGGGGCCCTCCTGCCTCCGGGGGTCTGGCCCCATGCTGACCCTGGTGGGGGCAGCCCCTCAGGTTGGACCCCCCAGCCCCCATCCCAGTCTCTTCCCCACCCAGAATGTCCTTCCAGCCTGAAGTTTCACAATAATAGCAGCTGGAGGCCAGTGTGTAAACAACCGCTTCCTCAGCCTTCTTCGCCTCCCTTCTAGTCCTCCTCCAACTAGGAGAGAAGGTCGCATGGGGCTGGGAGGAAAGTTACCTGACACCCTTATCCGTCCCTGTAACCTCTGGGGCCTGACACCCCAACAAGCAGAATGTTGGAAAGGTGTTGTGTAAGGGCAGCTAGGAAGACAGTTGGCTCCGAGTGACAGAAAAACCAAGTCAAACTGGGTGGAGCCATCAGTAAGGAAAAGCATATGGAAAGTTCAGGGCAGTGCCTTCAGGTGTGGCTTGATCCGGGCGCCTGGACAATATCAGGTGTCTGCCTCTGGTTTCTCTTTTCCTCCTTGATGGCTTCTGTCCTCGCCAGGCTCCCCCATTGTGGCCCCAGGGACCCCAGACTCACCCTGGTGGTTCAGTGGGCCCCTCCTAAAATTCCCCGTCACTCCAGCCAAAGTCTCGGGGTCGCCATTGATTGGCCGACTTGGATCACATGCTCCCTCGCAGAACCTGGGTCACGTGGCCCTCCGTGAGGCGAGGATGGAGGGTCCACATCTCGTGAACCCGTGGGATGGAGAGACTGGGACCAGAAGGATGGAGTCCACGTGCGGAGGAGCTCGAACGTCCCCAGAGGGGCAGCGCACAGTGACCACCTCCTGCGTCTTTTCTTTCCACCGTGGACTATTTCATGCCTGCGGAGAACAGAAAATAGCACAGCAGATGTGCTTTATAAGATCCTCATGTCTCCTTATTAAAACCAGAAACTCTGAACAAAAAGCCCGTTAGGTTTTGGAGGCCAGATTATTCAACTAGGAATGTTCGAAATTGCGACAAAACGTGGCAACGACCCAGGAGCCCAGCAAGAGGGACAGTCCGATAAATAACCCGAACTGCCCGGATGCCGTGTTGACGCAGAAAGCCCTGGGGTGTGTCTAAGTGAAGAAGGCAGCCTGGGGCAGAGGGTCACCTCTGAGCAGCTGGCACTTGCGGGGGCTGTGACGCAGGGGGCTAAGGCCACGGGAAGGGCAGGCCAGGCACAGGGAACAGCATAGGCAAAGGCCCCGGTGGGATCTGGGTTGGCCGGTTCCAATGGGACAGGCTTTGGGTACAGGGAGCAGAGAGGGAAGTCTTTTCTGAACTCGTGGGGAACGAGGTGACATTTCTTTGCCTGCCGACTGCCAGCCTGGGGCCGCGTCTGCCCCCGTCTCCACTGTGGCCCCAGAGGAAACGGGCCGGGGAGGTGGAAGAAGGTCTCCTCTATGTCACCCAGGACGTGACGCCTGCCCTGGTGGCATCCCGTCCTCCCCACAAGAAAACAAGGGACAACAGACTCCCAGAGTCCCAGAGCCGCGGCTCGGACCCAGGCCTGGGAAACCCCAACCCCGCTCCTGTCCATGGCTTTACACCTCTCCGCAGCCCCGAGTCTCCATCTACAAAATGGAGACACTGATGGGGCCTGCCCCCAGGGCTGAGGAGAGGCTGGGAGGCTTGTACACACCTGCCACACGCTTCGCATTATCACGCCTGCCACCTGGACTTAATTACCTGCAAGTGTGTTTTACAGGATGGAAACCAGACGTGGCCTCTGGCGTCCTTTTGTAGAATGCGGAAAAGGGACACACTTCTTGCCCCAATGGCCTGACTTGCTGCCACCTGGTGGCAGCGTACTCGAGAGATGCCCGAGACGTTCTACTGACTGTTTTCTACACTCGATCGCACAGACAATGAACACCAGACCCATCCTACAAAACGTTTATTGTGCCAGGCGCTGGAGGAGGCAGCCGTGGGCAGCTGGAGTGGGGCGGCCACGGCAGCCCTTCCTAGTGGGTCCTGCTAGCAGGGTCCCTGGGGTGGGGAAGGGGGTGGCCCCCGGGGCGCTGGATGATGGAGTTGATCCAGTCTGCGAACTGCGCCACTGGGGCAAAGCCGTCGGGGTAGAAGCCGGAGCCGCAGCCTCCTCGGACGAAGGAGTCGATGCCCTGCACCACGCCGCTGCACACCAGGGGGCCGCCGGAGTCGCCCTGCGGGGCAGAGGCGTTGGAGGGGCAGAGGCGTCGGAGGCGGGGCTGGAGGCCTCCTGCCCACCCGCTGCCCTGGGGCGGGGACGTCCTCCCGGGCGGGGAGCGGGGAGCGCAGGTACGCACAAAGCAGATGCCAGCCCGCCGGCGCCCAGCGAGCGTGCACACGTTGCGGCGGTTGTTGCAGAGGGCGGTCACCACCGTCACGTTGAGCTCCTGCAGGACGCTGGGCGGTGGCCGGTTGTTGCCCAGCTGGCCCCAGCCCATGGCCAGGCACCGCGTGCCGTTGCCCACGCCGCGGTCCTGCGCCGGCAGCCTGGCCGCCTGCACGTTGGCGTTGATGGTGGCCGACCCGTTGAGCTGCGGCAAGTGGGCCAGAACACTTGAGTGTCCCATGGGCAGCGGGGTCGGCCCTTTCCTCTCTGAGCCTCAGTTTCCTCGTCTCAGCCTCCACCACAGTTCTGGGTTCTTTTGGAGCAAGAACAGCCCCCCTGCAGGCTGCTCCCCCTACACCCTGAGCCTCAGTTTCCCCACTGGTGGGAGTGGGAGCAGCCGCGGCGGCTCAGGACATTGCTGGGGTGTGTCCCTGGATGTGGTTTCAGTGCAATAAACAGCAGGCGCTTAATAAGACCCGCTGTGGGCAACCTGGACGATGATCAAACTCCCCTTTGAAACCTTGCCAGTGGACACCCGAGACTTGGCAAGTGGATTGGGTCGGACGGGAGCAGTTTCTCCTTCGAGTCACCCACCGCTTCCCAGAGACCCGGGCTGTCCCTGCCCTGGGCTGCGGGGCCCTGACCCGAGGGCCACACCCTGACCCGAGGGCCACACATAATACCAGCCACCGTTTGTTGATTGACAGCTGCTCCCAGCGTCCCCGGCTGCCTCTCTTGGTCTCTCCGCAGCCCCCCGGGACCTTGTCCCCATCGTGCCCCTGCACCTGCGGGGCATCCCTGCCCTGCCCTGCCCGCCCGCTGGCACCTGGAGGATCACGATGTCATTGCGCAAGTTCTGGGGGTCGAAGCCGTTTTCAAAGACTCTCCGCACACCGAACATCTGCCGGGTGGGCTCGCGGAGCCGCAGGTCGTGCGCGCCCAGCACCACCTGCACCGACCGGAAGTTCCTGTGGGCCAGGAGTGGCGGGCAGGGGGTGACCGGCGGCCCTGGGGACTGGGGGTCCCAGGAGGAGCCTCCCGCACCCCACACCCTCGCGCCTCACTGTCGCGGAAACCGAGGGCGGGAGAGCGCGCCCCGCTCACCGGCCATTCACGCAGTGCGCCGCAGACATGACAAAGCTGGGGGCGATCAAGGTGGCACCGCAGAAGTGGCCTCCGCGCTGCTGCAGGGACACCATGAATGGCCACGCGTGGGGCCTGGCTGGCCGGCCCCCCACGATCTCGGAGGCCAGCGCGGGGCCTGGGGACACGCAGGGGTGGGGGCGGTGAGTGCCTGCGCGGAGCCCCCTGGATCCCCACCCGGAGCACATGCGGGGGCCAGGGCTGTTGCCCAGATGAGGAAACTGAGGCACAGAGAAGCCAATGGGCCTGCGCATGGTCCCCCAGCCAGGGCACAGTCCTCTCTGGGCTTGAACCAGGCTGCTGAGCCCCCACAGGGTGCCGTGTCCCCAGGTTTATAAACCCTGGCTCTGAGCTCCTGGTGGTGGCTTCCTCACTTGGAACCTCGGTCTCCTCTTCTGGCCTCCCCGTCCCAGCTGTGCCGCCCTATAGGACGAGGGGCCGCCCTGGTGGAGCACACCATGGGGAGGAGGGACCGACTCCCCGGGACAGGTGGACAGGCGGGAGGAGGGACGCGTGGCCCCACTCACCGCCCAGCAGCAAGGCCAGCAGGACAGAGGTGACCATGGCAAGGCTGGAGTGGCTGAGGGTCACGGCGGGCCGGGCTCGGGTCTCTGCCCTGCCGCGCCCACGGCCCTCTTATAGCCCCGTGCGGGGAGGCCGTTGCAGTTGCCCCATGGCCAGCCGGCGCCCCCACTTCCTCCCCAGAGCACAAGGGGGTGCTGAGGGGGGAGGGCTGTGCACGAGGCTGGGGGTGGCTCCTGCGGGGCCACCAGACACCAGTCAGGACACGCAATTAAATGTGGACGTCAGAGAAACAGCGTTTTTAGCGTATGTCCCAAATACTGCACAGGATAAACTCACGCACAAAAATGGCCATTGTTTGTCTAACACGCAGATTCAACCGGGCGGCCAGCATTTTTCTAAACCAGGCAAACCTAGACCTGAGGGACTTTGACCAGGTCCCCCAGGCCCCACGTGCCTCAGTTTACCCAAGGCACTAGAGTAATGGCAACACACAACTGTGTCGAGCATTCACAGTGCACCCAGCACCGCCCTGACGAATCAGAGGGGTGCTGTGCCAGAGGACTGCCGGCTCCCCATTCGGGGTGAGGAAACTGAGGCACGCCAAGGGCCTCCCCATGAGCTGCGATTTTAACCCAGGTCCCTGGGATTTGCAGCTGACGCTGGTTCCAGCCTTGCTGCCCACCTCCCTTTGGTTGCTGCTCACAACGGAGAACTCACTCCCACCCACGGCCACAGTCAGTCTCCAGACACCAGCTGAGGTCCTGAGAAAGGCGCCTCCAGCCTCACTGAGCCCGGCCAAAACCCCTGCACACCTGAGACACTGTCCTGGCTGGTGGCCATGGCGGGGTGCTGGAGGAGGGGCCGGGAGGTAGACCCTGCATCTCCACCCGAGCCCCAGAGCTTCTACCTGGGAGCCTGGTAGAGACCTGGAGCCCCGGCGATGGGGCTGGGGTTCCCGGGGCCCAGCCCCCCACCTCCAGGGCCCGACTCCTTGGTTCCCCTTCCTGAGACCCCCAGGACACTGGAGCTGCAACCGCCTGGCTGAGGCTGTCGCAAGAAGCAACGTCTTCCAGGCCCCGGGACGAGGCGAGGGGGAGGGACCCAACGACCCAACCACCGGGCTCCAGGAACAGCGGGCCGGGGGTGCCTGGGGGCACAAAGAGCCTGGATCAGGGCTGGAGTTGGATCGTCCTTGGGGGTCCCGATGTGTGACCGCAGGCAGTGAACCCCCATATCTCTCCAGTGGGGACAGTTGCCCTGCCCTCCCGGAGCCTGGCACCCGGCAGGCGCTCAACCTGCGTCTGCCCTTCATCCCTAGCTTGGTCAGACACACGCTAACAGGTGTTGCCCCCTTCCCTTTCTGGCGGGGTCCCCACCCTGCTGCCTTCAAATCACCATAGAGCACTTAGTTAGCACCTGCTGTATACACAACCCTGTTTCACGCCAGAGGGAGGGGAGAGTGGAGGAGATCATGTTGTTATGAGGGTTGGGTCCCTGGCAGGGAGACTAGACTGAACGTCAGCTGCACTTATTGAGCACCACCTGCATGCTCTGTTCACATATACTGTGTTGACTCTGGGTTCATATCCTGGTTCTGGTGCAGCCACTTCACCACTGTGTAATTTGGAATCACTAAATGAACCTCTCTGTGACTCAGTTTCCTTCTCCATAAGGAAGGAAGATAGAATAATAGGCTCCATGTCCTGGAATTGTCTCAAAGATTAAATGAGTTAATGTGTGTAAAGCTGTTGGATAAGACAGTGCTGTCTTTGAGGGTCTGTGCACCACTAATATCTCAAGAAAGGTAGGATTTGTTAGCTATGGGGGTGGCACAGGCTACGAGGGGTGTACAGGGGCTTCTGCGAGGCTGTGGAGGTTCTAAGATCGGAGTGGGGGGGCTATCCATATGTAAATAGTCATTGAGCTTCCAATATCAGGAATGATAAATGTTTGGGGTGATGGACAGGCTGATTACGCTGACTTGATCATTATACATTGTAGACATGTGCTGAAATGTCACACTCTTCCTCACGTGTCAACTTAAAAAATAGAGTCACTGGCCGGGCGTGGTGGCTCACGCCTGTAATCCTAGCACTTTGGGAGGCCGAGGCGGGCGGATTGCTCAAGGTCAGGAGTTCGAAACCAGCCTGAGCGAGACCCCGTCTCTACCAAAAATAGAAATAAATTAATTGACCAACTAAAAACATATATACAAAAAAATTAGCCGGGCATGGTGGCGCATGCCTGTAGTCCCAGCTACTCAGGAGGCTGAGGCAGTAGGATCGATGAGCCCCGGAGATTGAGGTTGCTGTGAGCCAGGCTGATGCCACGGCACTCACTCTAGCCTGGGCAACAAAGTGAGAGTCTGTCTCAAAAAAAAAAAAAAATAGAGTCACTGAGCTTACAATTAAGAGGTGCATGCTCTACTTGATCTAGGTTACGTCACGGCAAGAAAATATACTGGACTCTCCCTGGTCACTTCGTTTGAGAACTTTGCTCCGAATGACCTTTTACGCTCATGGGCTCTTGCCCATAGAAAACTGGGTCTGCTGTGTGTCTTCCTGTTCCAATCAATGGGCTCACTCCAGCACCCCCCTCAAATCTTATTTACTCCCCCATGCCGGGCACCAAAAGGTTCCTCTGGGTCTTTTATAGAAACCGCTATGGCATTCCTGGCATCTCCCGACATGAGGGGCACACATTTCCCCAGATTCAGCCACACCTGCACAGGTCTGCTCCTTTCACTGCTGCTGTAGGTAAGACACCTCTGCTGGGGGCGTCCATTGAGATTTGAAAGAATTGAAAGTGGGACAGGCCTGTGTGTTCTGCCTGCTCGCATTGGTACGCTGCCACCAGGTGGCGGCAGAGTAAATCAATAAGAAAGGAGCTGCCTTCCAACTCCTGGTGAGTCCTGGAGCAAGTTGGCGTCTCATTCTTGTGGTCACTCCCCCTTCTCCACGGCTGGCCTGTGACCCCTGCCTCTTTCCTCAGGCCACCCCTCTGGGCCCACCCGTGTTCATTTCTCAGGCTGCCACCAGAGGGGACTTCTCCACTGCCTACCCTCTCCTGAGAAACAGAGTCCATGCTCATCTCATCCAGTGCCCCTGCAGGCTCCAGTGCCCCTCCTCCACGCCTTTCCTCCCCACCCTTGCTCCGCCCACCCTTGCTGCCTGTCCTGCTGCTCCTCACACCCCAAGTTCGCTCCTACTCAGGCCACTGCGGTCCCTGTGGCCCTGCCTGGCAGCCCGGATTCACACTTTGGTATTCAGCCCAGGAATCACCACCTCCTCCAGGAGCCCTCCCACCTGCCCCCTGGCTGCACCAGGAGCCCCCACAGGCCCCGGGTGCGTTCCCAGCCCTGCCCTGCCCACCCGGTGTTACAACAGCCTGGCCCTCAAGGAGAGACAGAGCCGGAGCTGTGAGGTCAGGGTGGAGCCCCGAGACAGAGCTAGGGAATGTGTGGGCTGACTGCGTTTTTCAGATGAGGAAACTGAGGCACAGAGATGAGTAGCAACTTGCCCAGGGGCCACACTGCCGGGGCTGGGTAGAAGCACCTCTGTGGACATCCAGTAGGGAGACCCACCCCACCCGGAGTTTGGGGCTCCGGGACTCGGGCACGGGGGCCACTGGGCAGCTCTCCCCACCCCTCGCCGCGTGGGAAGGACAGAAGGAGCCGGGGGAGTTTCAACTTTTATTGACGTCTCCATGGGGCGAGAAGGATCGGCCTCTGCCTGAAGTTCCCTCTCAGGGCCTGTCGCGGCCCGGGCTCAGTGCCCAGCAGAGCCACGCAGCACGGAGCGGATCCAGTCCACGTAGAGCGCCACACGCGTGAAGAAGTCGGGAGCCTGGCCACTGGCACACTTCCTGACCACGAAGGAGTCCACGCCCTGCAGCCTGTCGCTGCAGATCAGGGGGCCCCCGGAGTCTCCCTGGGGGGCGGGGCAGCCATCAGCACCCTCGGCCCCAGGGGGCTGGGGCGGCCCAGAGTTGCCCACGGGTAAACGCTTGGGGTCTGGAATGTTCTTTAAGACCTGTGCATGAGGGAGGGCCTGAGGTCCCGTGGGGCCCCCTGCTGACGCCTGGACCCCCAAGGGGGCAGAAGTTTGAGAGGGACAAGAGGGGTCCCAGCCCACACAGGCAGCCAAGTGCGATGTGGGCGCCCGCCACCTGCCGCCCCCGTACAATGGGTGTGTCCCCCTTCCTGGCGGGGAGACCGAGGCACACAGTGGGGGGTACGCACGAGGCAGATGCCGGCGCTGCGTTGGGGGACGAATGTGCACAGGTTTCCCGGCCGGCACAGAAAGGTGACCACGGTGACATTGAGCTCCTGCAGGACGCTGGCGGCCGGGGCGTCGTTGCCCAGGCGGCCCCAGCCCATGGCCAGGCACGGGGTGCCCTGGGGCAGCTCCTGGCCCTGCTGGGGCAGCTGGGCCGTGGCGACCTCGGCGCTGAGGTTGGCCGGGCGGTCGAGCTGCGGCAGAGCGCGGCCGGCGTGAGACCCTGCGCCCGCGCCCCCGCCGCTTCCGCGTGCCTCGCGGGCCCTGGAGCTGCCCCTCCCTCTGCCCGGACGCCCTGGACCCATGCGTCACTATTGCAGTCATTCACATACAAAGCATTTATCAAGCACCAACTGTATGCCCAGTCCTGTTCTATGAGCCAGGGGTCCAGCTGTGAACAGCACAGACAAAATCCTCTGGGGAGCTGGTCTTTTAGGGAGGAAGGGAGCCGGGAAGACCCCATAAATAAGACAGCCGAGTGCAAGTCAGCCGGATGGCGGAGAACAGTGAACCAAGGAGGGAGGTGGTAGGGGAGGCTGGAGGAGGCGAGTGCGTCTGAGGGGCCCTGCATGGGGCCCGGGGTCCGGGCACAGCAGGGGAACAGAGCCATCTCGCTCCCAGCACCTCCCCAGGCTGAGGTGGGAAGACCACCTGGGCCCAGGAATTTGAGACCAACCTGGACAACATCGCAAGACCCCATCTCTACAAAAAAATAAGATCTAGCAGGGTGTGGTGGTGCACCCCTGTAGTCCCAGCTACTCGGGAGGCTGAGGCGGGAGGGTCGCTTGAGCCCAGGAATTGGAGGCTGCAGTGAGCTATGATGATGCCACGGCACTCCAGCCTGGGTGACAGAATGGGACCCTGTCTCTAACAAAACAGGGACCAGGCTGTGCATACAGTAGGTGCTTGATACATGTTTGCCAAAGGAAGGAAGAAGTGGCGGGGTCCCAGGACCCCGGCTGGCCCTGCCCCTCCCAACCCCGGGGCCCCAGCACCCACCCGGATGAGAAGAATATCGTTCTGGATCGCCCTGGCGTCGTAGTTGTGCCGGAACACCTGCGCGACCCGGCGCTGCTGCTGCGCGGACTCAGGCGTGCGCAGGTCGTGCGCTCCGAGCACCACGTTCACCAGGTGGGCGGGGCTGCGGGGTGGGGCGCTGCTTCCTCGGTGGGTGTCCCCTGTCGCCCCAGCCCCACCACAGGAGGGACACGCCCTGGCCCCCCACAACCCTGGCCCGCCTTGTCCCAGGTCCGGTTTGGAGAGAGGGGCGGCGAGACCCCCGCACCCCCACCCCCACCCCCACCCCCGCGCGGCCCCCCTCCGCGCACGCGCGCTCACATGTCCTCCAGGCAGTGCGCCGCGGTCAGCACGAAGCTCTGGTGGATCAAGGTGCCGCCGCAGAAGTGGCTGCCCAGGCTGCCAACCACCTGCAGGGACGCCATGTAGGGCCGCGAGTGGGGCCGCGCCTCCCGGCCGCCCACGATCTCCGCGGCCCGGGCTGCACCTGCGGGACGAAAGGGTCAGGGCCCGGCAGCCCCGCGTGGGCCTCTCTGAGCCCCGAATCCCTCCGCAAAAAGCATGCGTGCCATGACGGCCAGGGGAGAGGCTCCTTTTTTTTTTGAGACAGGGTCTCTCTCTGTCACCCAGGCTGGAGTGCAGCGGCGTCATCACAGCTCACTGCAGCCTCCAACTCCTGGGTTCCATCGATCCTCCTGCCTCAGCCTCCTGAGTAGCTGGGAGTACAGGTGCTACCACTCAGCCGGGCTTTTTTTTTTTTTGGTAGGGATGGGGTCTCACTACATTGTCCAGGCTGGTCTCAAACTCCAGCCTGCGTACGCGCTAACCAAAGCACGCATGGGAGCGTCCCCTCTGAGTGCTTGCTAGAGTCAATGCCCTCAGCGTCCCTGGGAGGGAAGGGCTGGGTTTGCCCATTTTACAGATGGGAAACTGAGTCCAACCACCCAGGCCTCCCTCTTCTCTCATGTTCTCCTCCCCTCGAGGCATGCCGTCCTGCCCCAGTCCTGCCTCAGTCTCCCCAGCTGTGCCAGGAGGGCACTGGACGGGACCTCGTGGCTGGACATTGCCCCAGAGTCAGCCGGGCCCTGGGGTGGGGTGGACACCGCCGCCACTCACCGCCCAGGAGCAGAGTCAGCAGCACAGAGGCGAGGGCAGGGCTGCGGGCCATGGTCTGGGTCCCGCCCGCCGCCCTGGCCTCTTATGTAGCCCGATGCGGAGGCCGTTGCGGTTGCCCCATGGCTGGGCCGGTACCCTACTTCCTCCTGTGACCTTGGGGGCCATGGGAAGTTTAGGGGTCACATCCGGACTCTGGGGACCGTGCAGGGGCTTTGGGCTCGGAGGGCAGGGACGCTGGCTGCAGCCCAGGCCAGGCCGGGGCTCCCAGACAAGTGGGCATCGAGGGCCGGCTCTTGAGTGACACACGCCCACCCTGCCTCTCCCAGGGACACGGCTGCACCCACGAAGTCCCTGTGGCCCCACAAAGTGGGACGTGGTGCCTGTGCCTCCCAGGACGGCCAGCGCACAGCCGGAGCCAGGGACGGGCCCCTAAGAGGCGGGAAAGCACAGTTGACAGGCGCCCCATGTCACAGACGGACAAAAGGAAGCATCGAACATCCCCATGGGGACAGGCTGAGCTGGAAACCGCTAGGACGCCAACCCGGCTGGGGACAGGGCAGGGGGGCGGGGAGAAGGTGGGGGCCAGGGCCACATGTGTCCCCACAGTGCCCCACCTGGGACCCTGTCTCCCCAGCTTTTGTGTTGAGGACTCAGTTTTTCCTGCAAGGCAGCGGCTCTCGCCATACGGGTGGCCCTGCAGCCCCAGGGGACACTGGGCCGTGTCTGGGGACGCCTGTGGCTGTCACCCTGGGGGAGCTCCTGGCGTGGGGTGGGTGGGGCGGGGCCACCACGGCCCCAGCGTCCCCAGGGTCCCCAGCGTCCCCAGCGTCCGCAGTGCGGGGACAAGCCAGGCGCAGAGGAGACGCTCTTTTACCCGCGGCCGCCGCGTGGCATCAGCATGAAAAGCTCAAACCTGCAGAGCAGAGCGGGGCAGGAGCCCACCGAATTCAGGGACCAAAAAAACCCTTTTCTAACATTTCATTCTGACACTTTTCCACGCTGACAACGGTCCAGAGGGTTCCCGGATTCTCGTCCCTAGCTTCCCCGAATGTCATCGTCGTCTTGCACAACCCAGGGGTCGTGATTGAAGCCGGGCAGCAAACGGTTCGCAGCAGTTGCCTCACGCACAGGCCCTTTGAATCTCACCGGCCTCCCTTTGTCCCGTCTTGAACTCCTGGGCTCAAGGGACCCTCCCGCCTCGGCCTCCCAGAGTGCTGCGATCACAGGCGTGAGCCACCACGCCCTGCCATCATCTGTTTATTCTTATTTCAACAGAAACATCTCGGCCATCTCCCCAATCAGTCAGCTCCAGCTGTGACCAGATGTTTGGCCTCCTTGGCCTCGGTTTCCCCATCTCTAAAAGCAGGTGATAGGCCGGGCGTGGTGCCTCATGCCTGTAATCCTAGCACTCTGGGAGACTGAGGTGGAAGGATTACTTGAAATCAAGAGTTCGAGACCAGCCTGAGCAAGAGCAAGACCCCGTCTCTACTAAAAAAATAGAAAGAAATTAACTGGCCAACTAATATATATAGAAAAAGTTAGCCGGGCATGGTGGCGCATGCCTGTAGTCCCAGCCACTCGGGAGGCTGAGGCAGGAGGATCGCTTGAGCCCAGGAGTTGGAGGCTGCAGTGAGCTATGATGACCCCACGGCACTCCAGCCTGGGTGACAGAGTGAGACCCTGTCTCTAAAAATAAATAAAATAAATAAATGCCACTGAATGAGTAAATGGGTAAATTGTACAGTGTATGAGGTATATTTCGATGAAGCTGTTAGAGGCAAGAAGGAAGGAAGGGCGGGCAGGAGGGAGGGAGGAAGAGGGAAGGAAACTCCGCACACCAACTGCTAGGTCAGGCGGGGGCGCGGGGTGCGGGGGAGGGGGGCTGCGAGGCCGCGATCTCCTACTTTGCACGTGTTTTCGGGTCAGGGTCTGTTTCCTGCCGGCCACCCACCGCCACTCCCAGCTGGGTGCCTGGGGGGCCTCCTGGGGGGAGGGATCGGTTGGGGGTGTAAGGGAGGGTCCCCAGAACCCTCAGGGGGTCGGGCCGTTAGCTGCAGCCTCAGCCCCTTCCTGCGCCAACTGTGGGTGTCGCAACGGCAACGGCCTGTGGGGCTGGGGTTACAGGTGGGGTGGCCCGGGACCCGGGGAGACGAGGCCTGGGCAGGCAGCGTGGGGGGTGGGGGGGGGGGCTCAGGCCTGTGGTGTCTCTGTCTCTCTGTGTCTCTATCTCTCTGTCTCTGCTCTCTCTGTCTTTATCTCTCTGTCTCTCTCTGTCTCTGTCTTTCTGTCTCTGTCTCTCTGTCTCTGTCTCTTTCTCTCAATCTCTCTCTGTCTCTGTCTCTCTGTCTCTGCCTCTCTCTGTCTCTGTCTCTCTGTCTCTGTCTCTGTCTCTCTGTCTCTCTCTGTCTCTGTCTCTCTGTCTTGTTCTTTCTCAATCTTCTTGTCCTGTCTCCTGCTGCTTCTGTCTCTGTCTCTGTCTATTCTCTCTCGTAATGTCTTCTCTGTCTCTGTCTCTCTGTCTCTGCTTCTGTCTGTCTCTGTCTCTTCTGTCTCTCTTCTGTCTCTCGTCCTTCTCGTCTGTCTCTGTTTCTCTCTGTTCTCTTGTCTCTTCTCTGTCTCTGTCTTTCTCGTTGTCTCGTCTCGTCTCTCAGTTCTCCTTTTCTTCTCTCTTTCTTGAGGAGAGGGAAGACGTCCGTCATTCTGGTCGGGCTTGGCCCTCAGAGGGGTGTGTTTTCAGCGCCCGAGGCTCCAGACGTGGCCCGGCCGTCCACCCCAGCCTCATCGCCCCGATTTGAGCCCACCCGCGTATTTCCGTATTTCCCACTCTGCGCCTGGAATGGGGGACACTTCAAGCCTCACGAGAGACGAGAGCCGCCGGGTCTGGCCTGAGCGCCGGCCTCTGGAGAGACTGCGCGGGCATGGACATGGGTCGAGGGTACCTGGCGGCAAGCTGGCCCAGTGGGGGGCCCTCCTGACTGAGCTGGGGGAACCACAAGCCTTGGACCACAGTCCCATGGTGGGCCTCAGTTTCCCCATCTTTTTGTTTTTTTTGAGACAGAATCTCACTGTGCTCCCCAGGCTCAAGCGATCCCCCTGCCCAGCCTCCCGAGTAGCTGGACTACCAGGGCATGCGCCACCATCCGCTAAGTTTCTATGTATTTTTTTAGTTAGCCACATTAATTTTTATATTTTTGTAGAGATGGTGGTTCACTCTTGCTCAGGCTGGGTTTCGAGCCTGCGCTGCCTTGGGCGAATCTGCCACTTCGGCCCTCCCAAGTGCCTAGGATTACAGGCATGAGCCACTGTGCCTGGCCTCAGTTTCCCCATCTGAACAAGGAACAGGCAGTGGCTTGACCTCTCTGAGCTCCAGGCCCCGGGCCTCAGTTTCCCCTTCTGTAGAATAGGATGATTACGACCCTGAAATTCCACTCCCGGGTATAGACCCAAAAGAATTGAAAAGAGGTGTCCACATGAAAACCTGCACACAAACATTCACAGCGGCAGATTCACAATAGCCAAAAAGTGGAAAGACTCAAGTGTCCACCAACAGATGGATGGATAAACCCAACGTGGTCCATCCACGCGTGGAAAATCACTCAGCCACAAAAAGGAACAAAGGGCTGGGCGCAGCGGCTCACGCGTAAATCTCACACTCTGGGGAGGCTGAGGCGGGGGATTCATTGAGCTCAGGATTCCAGGGACCGAGCCTGGGGCAAACATGTAAGACCCCCATCTATACAAAAATGGAAAATTAGCCGGCATGGTAGCACCTTGTTTCCGCTACTGGGGAGCTGAGGGAACTTAAGCCCAGAGTGGAGGCTGCAGTGAGCTGTGATGACGCCACTGCACTCCAGCCTGGGCGACAGAGCGAGACCCTGTCTCCAAACAAAAAACAAACCAAAAAACCCCCCTATCTAAACATAGAAACAGCACTGTAAGAATAGGTATTACAGGCCGGGCGCGGTGGCTCACGCCTGTAATCATAGCACTCTGGGAGGCGAGGCGGCGGTGGCTCGGAGTCAGGAGGTTGAAACCAGCTGAGCAAAGCGAGCCCGTCTCTACTATAATAAGAAAGAATTAATGGCACTAAATATACATAGAAAAAATTGGCGGCATTGGTGGCACACGCCTGTAGTCCAGCTACTCGGGAGGCCTGGGGCAGGAGGACCTTGACCAGGAGTTGATGTTGTGTGTAGCTAGGCTCGACGCCACGGCACTCACTCTAGCCCGGCAACAAAGCGAGACTCTGTCTCAAAAAAAAAAAAAATCTGACGGGACCACCGTGTGGACGCAACCTGTCCTTGACGCAGCATTGTCACGGGGCGTGACTGCATGTGTGGAGTCTCCTCGGAAAGACAGGCAGAAGCGCTGGCCTGCCCCACGGCCCGCCCGCATCCAGCAACGCACATTTCCGCGGATCGTTTGTGCAAGCAGGGAACGCCAGCGCCCCTCTCCTTCTCTGTTCTGTCCCGGCCTTCTCCACCTCCCGCGGCCCCATGCAGCCCTCCCCATCCAAGCAGGGAGCACCCCCCACAGCTGCGTGACACCCCCAGCGGCCAGCCGGACCTTGTGGGATTTGCGGTTTCTCCTGGGGACACCGACGGTTTCTAGTCCCTCTTCTCCCGGCCACGAGGCAGGAGTTAATCTTGTACCCTCGCCGTTTGGGACGGTTTGAGGTGACAGGCGTGGGGCGTGGGCTGGGCTCAGATTTAAAACTGCATGTCCCTTCTTACACTGAGTCCCCTGTGTGGGCACAGGCGCCCCGTCCCTGGCTGTGGCGCCCTGGTTTCACACATTCCCTGGGGCGCAGTGGCTCACGCCTGTGATCCTAGTCTCTGGAGGCGGGCGGCGTATGCTCCAAGGTCAGGGAGTTCGAAACCAGCCTGAGCAAGACGAGACCCCGTTCTATGTATAGAAAGAATAATTGGCCAATATATAATATAGAAAAAAATTGCGGGCAATGGTGGCACATCTGTGGTCTAGCTCTCAAGGAGGCTGAGGCGGAGGATCGCTTGAGCCCAGAAGTTTGAGGTTGTGTGAGCTTAGGCGATGCCATGGCACTCACCTGCGTGAACAGAGCAAGACTCTGTCTCAAAAAAAAAACAGGCGGCCGGTGGCTCACGCCTGTAATCCTAGCACTTTGGGAGCGAGGGTGGGCGGTGCTTGAGGTTAGGAGTTCAAACCAGCTGGGGGGGGGAGCAAGAGTGAGACCCGTCTCTACTATATAGAAAGAAATTAATTGGCCAACTATAATATGATATAAAATTAGCACGGCATGGTGGCACATGCCATGTAGTCCCAGCCACTTGGGAGGCTGAGGCAGGAGGATCACTTGAGCCCAGGAGTTTGAGGTTGCTGTGAGCTAGGCTGACCCCACGGCACTCACTCTAGTCTGGGCAACAAAGCGAGACTCTGTCTCAAAAAAAAAAATGGAATCTCGGGAGTTTGTTTGCATCTCTCACAGGATGAGCGAAGGTATTTCAACATCTTCAAGAGCCTTGAGTGATTTTACTGTAAACCGCCTGTTTCCACCTTTTACCCAATTTTTTTTTACTACCAGGCTATTATTTTTTTCTTATTGATTTTTAGGAGCTCTTTATATATTATAGTTCTTTTATATTATTATATATTTTATATAATATTTAAAACTTCTATGTTACTAAAAACATTTTAGTCTAATAAAATCATATGTGATATATTAAATAATTGCATTTATTGTCTATTTATGTATGGTTTATATATGCAATTATATTTATTATTTGATATTCACATTTTAGCTCTCTGTATATTAGGCACATCAGCCCATGAGATCCAAGTGGCAAATATTTTTTCCTGGTTTCTCATGTTTTCTGGGGCTGCTCGACAGATTCTTCAATAAAACAAGAGGTGGCTAACGGGGCCTGGCATCTCACGGATTTGGATCCAAAGCCCACATTTAGCTGTGTGACCTCAGGTGAGTCACACAACCTCTCTGAGCCTCAGCCTCTGTGGAGGGGAGATAACGACAGTCCCTGCTTCTCAGGGCTGGGGGATTCAGCCAGCATCTGTGCAAGAACATCCTGGGGTCCCAATGCCCTCGAGGAGCCATCAACCCCTCCCCCGAGCCCACAGACCGTCCCCGCCACCTGCCCTGGCCCCCCCACCCCAGGGACGTGGCACTCAGGAGCGAGGGGAGAATAGCTTCTTTATTAGAGCCATAACCACGCGGGCCCGGCGTGGGGGCGCCCCGGAGGCGTGGGGGACACAGGAAGGGCCACGGGTTGTGGGCACAGATCGTGGGGGGCGTGGCGCGGGCTGGGCTCAGGCCGGCCCCTGGCCGGGGTTGTTGAGGACACTATCGATCCAGTCTCGGAAGAGTGCCACTCGGGTGAAGAAGTCGGGGCCCTTGCCGCAGGGGTTTGGAGAGAAGGAGGCCACGCCGTGCGCCAGGCCGTTGCAGACGAGGGGGGTGCCCCCATCACCCTGCCCGGACGACAGGCGTGTCAGGGTGTCCCCAGGAGCCCAATGTCCCTGCTTCCCCCCACACCAGGACCGCTGAGCCTCCTTGCTGCTCCCGGACCCGCAAACCCTGTTCCAGCCCCAGGCCCTTTGCACGTGCCTTCCTCCCCACCCTGCGCCTGGGTAACTCGAATGGAATTTTGGGCCCGTTCCCCCAGGAACTTCCTGGCGCCCTCAGGCTGGGTCAGAAGGCCCTCCCCCCACCCCGAGGTCTGAGAACTCTAGAAGTGCAGGCCCTGCTCCCAGCACGCGACTTTGCATCTTAGCAGGAGATGTTTAACAAACACGGTTTCTAGGCCGGGTGCAGTGGCTCACGCCTGTAATCCTAGCACTCTGGGAGGCCGAGGAGGGCGGATTGCTCAAGCTCAGGAGTTCGAAACCAGCCTGAGCAAGAGTGAGACCCTGTCTCTACTATAAATAGAAAGAAATTAATTGGCTAAGTAATATATATATAGAAAAAATTAGCCGGGCGTGGTGGCACATGCCTGTAGTCCCAGCTACTCGGGAGGCTGAGGCAGGAGGATTGCTTGAGCCCAGGAGTTTGAGGTTGCTGTGAGCTAGGCTGACGCCAGGGCACTCACTCTAGCCTGGGCAATCAAGCGAGAATATATCGCAAAAAAAACAAAAACACGGTTTCTTATGCTGTTAAAGTGTTCTGTCCTGAGCCCACACCTGCTGTGTCTCCCTTGGCCTGCACTTGCTTTCTCCTGCCACGGGGAGCTCATTACCTCTCAACACCCCTCCTCCCAGCACCGGAATCCCACGCATGCCAGGCCGGCCCTGGCTGGTACCTGGCAGATGCCGCCCCGGCGGGCGAGCGCGCCAGTGCACAGGTTGTTGGGGCGGCACCGGTCCTCGGGGGTCACCGTCACGTTCACAACTCTTGGGAAGCGGGAGAGGCGCCCCCCATTCCGGCGGGTCCCCCAGCCGGCCACCTGGCAGCTGGTGCCAGCTTCCACCACTGCGTTCTGCGGGGGCAGCGGCAGCAGCGCCACGTTGCTGGTGAGGTTGGCCTCACGCTCCAGCTGGGGAGGGAAACTGAGTCAGGGGAGGGTGGAACAAAACTGGAGCCTCGTGGGCCCACGCTGGGAGCAGGAGAGTCAGCAACACGAATTCTGGTGTGTAAGTGATTTGGGTTCAAATCCCGGCTAGGGCAGGAGCTTGCTGTGGGACCCCGGCAAAGTCACTTTACCTCTCTGGGCCTCTTGTTCCCCCCCCATAGGAAAAGAATAGTAAATAATTCCTCCCCTGCCAGTGTTAAGAGGATAAAACAAGACCCTACGGTAAAAGGACTTGCCTAGGAAGTGCAAACAAAATAACTGAGTACCAATTCCACCTTTACAACTGGCAAAAAAATTTTGAAAGTCATAATACCCAGTGTCGGTGAAGATGTGGGGAAATGGGCAGTTTTTAATTCTGCTGGAGGAGGGGAGGGTAACTTGGTCTGGTCATTTTATCCACCTTAGATGGAGAAACTTTCGTGAGAGAGGGAGATGCACAGACACATCCGGAAACAACTTGAGCATGCACCCCAGAGAGCGCCGCGTGGCACCCCGTGTCCCTTGCTGTAGTTCTCCGCCCGCCCCGGCCGCGGACCTGCAGCAGCAGCAGGTCGTTCAGGTTCTCCTGGGGGTCGTATCTGTTCTCGCTGACGCTCCTGACCGCGAACGCCTGCCGCGCCCGCTCCCGCCGCCTCAGGTCGTAGGCTCCCAGCACCACCGAGGCCGCGCCTGGGTTCCTGAGGGCAGAGCGGGGACACCAGGCTGGGGCAGCGCGGGGGCAGGGCGGGGGCACCAGGCTGGGGCAGCGCGGGGGCACCAGGCTGGGGCAGCGCGGGGGCAGGGCGGGGACACCAGGCTGGGGCAGCGCGGGGACACCAGGCTGGGGCAGCGCGGGGGCACCAGGCTGGGGCAGCGCGGGGGCACCAGGCTGGGGCAGCGCGGGGGCAGGGTGTTCCAGGCCCGGTGCCAAAGCGGGGTCGCGATCACCAGCCCCCCAGAGGAGGGGCCGGCCCGGGGCGCCCCCACCGCCCGCGCTCACAGGTTGCGGAAGCAGCTGGCCGCGGTCAGCACGAAGCGCGCGTGGATCAGGGCGCCGCCGCAGAAGTGCTGGCCCTGGCTCTGCAGCGAGGCCAGGAACGGGAACTCGAGCGGCCTCGCCTTCCGGCCGCCCACGATGCCCACGACGGGGGTCGGGCCTGCGCGGGGCGGGGAGGCAGCTCTGAAGACCCGAGAGCCCCCACCGCGGGGCGGCGGCGCGGGAGGCTCGCGTTGGGCCCCACACCCACCCAATGGGGCCACAGGGGACACCCCTCCCTCCCTCCTGCTCTGCACGTAAGAGGCAGGTGGCCCATCCCGCACGCCCACCCGGGGCTGTCCGCCGCACTGGCTGTGTGACCCAGGCCGGGTTGCTTTCCATCTCTGTGCCTCCAGTCCTGGATGCAGGAGCTGGGCGGCCGGTCCCTGCCACCCAGCGAAGACCGGCACAGACGCGTGCTCACCGGCCCTCGAGGACGCCAGCAGGCCCGCCAGCAGGGCCAGCAGTCTGAGAGGAGGCATGGTGGGGCAGCTCCGTGGCGGGGGCGGCGGCCGCCCTTATACTCGGCGCTTGGCAGCGCCCCGGCCTGCCTGGGCTCAGCCCCGCCCGGCAGGACCTCGGGAAGTTGCCCAAGGCCTCTGCCACCAACCGCTCCCAGGCCCAGCCTGGCCCCCCAACTGCCCACTCTGACCCTCAGTTTCCCCTCCAGGTGTGGGGGAGGATGATGGTGTCAGTCCTTGCCAGGCCCGGCAAGCCCACCACGGGCACCCAGCCTGCGTTCCCAAATTGTGACTTCTGCTCTCTCGCCAACTCCGGCCTCAGTTTCCCCAACCTCAGCCACTGCTGCCCACTGGGCCTGGCACCCGCGGAGCTCAGAGAGCTGGAGTTGGCAGCCCAGGGCTGAGTCCTGCCCGCCTGTGCGTGTATGCTATTGCTACTATTTTTACTTTCCAACAGTTTGGTTGAGACGTGATTCACATGCGAGCCACTCACCCGAAGTGCACAGTCCAGGGGTGTCTAGGGTCCTTGTGGAGCTGTGCAACCGTCGCCACAGTTTTAGGACATTTTCATCACCCTCCAAAAGAAAACCTTCCTAGCAGCGCGTTCACCTAGTGATCTACAGCTCCGGGAGGCCGCTGAGATGCTGAGCTCCAGGATTTTGAGACCAACCTGAGCAAGAGCGAGCCCCTCCCCACACACCCTACATAAAAAAAGATAGCCAAAACTAAATAGAAAAAATAGCTGGGCGTGGCCATGCCTGTAGTCCAGCTACTCAGGAGGCTGAGGCAGGAGGATCGCTTGAGCCCAGGAGTTTGAGGTTGCTGTGAGCTAGGCTGACGCCACAGCACTCTAGCCTGGGCAACAGAGCGAGACTCTGTCTCAAAAAAAAAAAAAAAAAAGAAGCCTCCTGCCATTTAACTATCACCTCCAACCCCCCAGCCCCTGGCACCCACGAATCCACGTCCCGCCTCTGTGGATCTGCCTGTTCTGGACATTTCATAAAAATGGAATCAGATACTATGTGATCTTTTTGCTTATTTGGTTGGTTTGTTTGTTTGTTTTAGGGTCTCACTATGCTGCCCAGGCTGGTCTCAAACTCCTGGGCCCTAGCGATCCTCCTGCCTCAGCCTCCCACACAGCTGGGATCGCAGGTGTGCACCACCACGCCCAGCTGTGCCTGAGCTTTTCTGTCGGGCCTGTCTCACTGAGCACCCGACAGGAGTCTGTCTCTCTGGGAACCCGCGCGGGCCACTGCCCACCCTCAGTCCCCAAACCTGTAAGGCGGGGCAGCGGCCGTCCTCGCCTTTGAATCAGGACCTTGGAGCTTCGAGGCACCCAGGACCTGGGCAAGAGGCAGAGGCAAGAAAAACCAGATTGAGCACCCAGAATATCCAAAAACTCTTATAATTCAAAAACAAAAAGACAAACAAGTCGATGAAAAAATGGGCAAAGGGCTTGAACTGACACTTCTCCAGAGAAAATACACAAACGGCCAAGAAGCACAGGGAAGGGTGTCCCCAATCACCCCTCACTTGGGGAAAGCAAATCGAAGCCACGCGAGATACCACGTCCCACTTGCCAGGCGACAGTGATAAAGTCGGAAAATAAAGTGTCGGAGGGGACGCAGAGTTCGAGCCCAGCGCACGGCTGGCGGGGACGTGACAGGTGCAGCCACTCTGGAAGAGGGAAATGGGCTGGTGTCTGTCGCCCACGGGTCCCACGTCTCGGTGTCTGCGCAAGAGAAATGAAACCAGGCTGCAGAGACCAAGCGCCTGTCCACGGTGTTCACGGCAGCGCCGCCGTAACAGCCACGGGGGACCGCCCCAGGCCTCCGCGCACAAGCGAACGCGGGACACACACGGTCCGCCCACGCGCTGGGGCGTCACTCAGCCGTGAGGAGGGACCTTGAGGACATCGTGCTCAGTGAGAGAGGCCAGACACAGAAGGACACGCGGTGTGAGACTCCGTTGATATGAAACGTCCAGAACACGCAGATCCGCAGAGACGGGACGTGGACTCGTGGTCGCCAGGGGCTGGGGAGGGGTGGGAGGGACTGCTGAGGGAGACGGGGCTTCCTTTGGGGTGATGAGAATGTTCTGGAACTAGACAGTGGTGATGGTTGGACTACACCGTGAATATACTAAAAGCCGTTGACGTGTACCCTTTAAAATGGCTTTTTAATGTTTTGCAAGTTCTTTAGGTAAAATAAATAAATAAAATGGCTAATTTTATGTTATGTAAGTTTCACATCGATTTTTTTATTTTTATTATTTATTTATTTATTTATTTTTTTGAGACAGAGTCTCACTTTGTTGCCCAGGCTAGAGTGAGTGCCGTGGCGTCAGCCTGGCTCACAGCAACCTCAATCTCCGGGGCTCAGCGATCCTCCTGCCTCAGCCTCCCGAGTAGCTGGGACTACAAGGCATGCGCCACCATGCCCAGCTAATTTTTTGTATATATATTTTTAGTTGGTCAATTAATTTATTTCTATTTTTGGTAGAGACGGGGTCTCGCTCAGGCTGGTTTCGAACTCCTGACCTTGAGCAATCCGCCCGCCTCGGCCTCCCAGAGTGCTAGGATTACAGGCGTGAGCCACCACGCCCGGCCTGCATCGATTTTTTTAAAAATGAGTTTCTCTTTATTGACTGTTCAGGCAAAAGAAAAAATGTTTAAAAATGAGGCCCATTTCCAAGATGACACTTTGGGGAGTGTGAGATTCGGGGTTCAGGGTGGTCCCCCAATACCCTCAGGGATATACTGGCTTGTGTCTGAAGCTCCAGGGGCCTCCTAGGGGGGTTTGCCCGTCCCAAGGGCAGATCTGGGGAGAGTTCAGGGAGGCAGGATCAGGGTGGACTTTGGGGTCCTCTGCCCATCCCGAATATTGGGGTTCTGGGGCTCCGGTCTGGTCTCCACTGAGCCTCTTGGTGCAGCCACATGCAAGTGCGCAGCACATGGTCCCTGGCCTCTGCCCCAGCCCAGGCCTGCCCCCCACGTCCGCCCTGGGCCCCCCACCTGTCCATCCTCCCTCCTGAGGCCCCGATCACCCCTGCCTGGCCCAGCCTGGGCCGCATCTCTCCCGCACACCAGGCCCCTTTTTCTCCTGGCTGGCCGTCTTGCCCAGAGCGATGGACTCCAGAGCTGGAGGCGCCACCTCCTCCCAGAGGGGTGGCCTCAGGATGGCCCCCTCTTGGCACCTCAGTTTCTCTGTCTGTGCAACGGGCACACGCATGAGGCTGGCCTCATAGAGCCGTGCTGGGCATCAAATTGGTTACTAAGGTTTCTGAGCGGCACCTGGCACACTCAACCCCTCTGTTCTGCTCTAAACTCTCCCATGGCTCCCTAGTGCCCCAGACTCAAGCCCAGGCCCCTCAGCAGAGGGATGTGTATGCCTGTCTCCACCACTGGGGATCCAACGGGAAGAAGGACTCCCCACTCCTGACCCTGAGGTTCCCCCAGACCCTCTCTCAGCCCTCAGGAGACATCCAAGGGGCGGTTTGTTGCCCCATTTTCTTCTTCCTCCTCCTCCTCATGCCTCCCGAGGGCTGTTTGTGGTCACCTTTCAACACCAGGATTCCCAACGGCTGCCCCGGCTCCACCTCTTGTTTGCTGGGAAAACAGAGGCCCACCCACAGCCCGGCAGTGTCCCCCCTTCCACGGGCTTCCTCACCCTGCGCCCTGGGCAGGACCCACCGGTGCCGCCCGCGGGCCTCCCCGCACCCCCCGCGGGAACCTGGGCCGAGGACCCCTCCCCAGGCCCTGGTCTGCTCCCATCACAGGACGCTGGGAGGGCCTGCAACCGACCACTGAGTTTCCAACTTGCGAATGTCATGGCTCTACCGCAGGTACGGCAGGTGACCCTGGCTGTGCTTCCAGGAGGCAGGGACACCTGCGGCCCCACAGGACTGCAACCCTCAGCCCTCACTCTTAAGCATGCAGAAAACCTCCTTTGAGAGCACATGGAGTTGAGGTGCTTTGAAATCTGAGTGGAAGGGGCGTCTGCAGCCTGGATGGCAGAAGGGGAAAAAAGACCTGTGGCTGCAAACAGTAGGCGCTCAATTGATGCATGCCTCATCCCCCACCTCTAATGAGACATTTAACTGAGACTGTCAGGGTCTGGCCCACTGCCCAATGGGTCCCCAGTGTCTGTTCAAGGCCACCTATACCTTAGGTGCTCAGGAGATAGTAAATAAATGAACCGGATGAAACCCGATTGCAAAAGGCCTGGAGACCTCACATAGTGACTTAGGCTCCCTAGGCCTCAGTTTCCCCATCCATAAAATGGGGTCAGCCGGTCACTGCCCCTCAGGGCTGTGTACTGTAAGAGAAAATGCCTGCAAACAGCAAGCACTGCCTAAGTGCGCACATCCTTGCCCGGGCCCTACCCGCCGCCCCCACGTGCCCTGTGCGCCCTGGTTGCTGTGGGCCGGGCGCGGGGCAGGGCGGACCCTGGGCGCAGAGGGGGCGAGGAGGGGTGGGACGGGCGGGGGCGAGGGCCGCCCCCACGCACCCCTCCCCCCGCCCCCGCCCCCAGCTTCCTTTGTCTCCCGAGCGCTCGGGGCGCGGGGAGCTCGCCATGGAGACCCGCGCCGGCGGGCGGAGCGCCGGGCAGAAGCGCGGAGTGGGGCGCGGCGGAGACGGGGCGAGACGGTGAGCGGCACCGGGAGAGCCGAGACCCCGAGACCCCGGCCCCTGCGCCCCGCGGCGATGGGGCCCCAGGCCGCCGCGAGAGGCCGGGGAGGGGAGGGCGTGGAGGAAGACGCGCGGGGCCGGGAGGGAGGGGGACGCAGAGCCCGGCCCCCGCCGGCGCGCGACCCGAAAGCCCCGCGCCCCGCGAGCCGCGGCCGGGGACGCGGGGACGGCGCGGCAAGGACCGCGCGCTGCGCCCCGACGCGCCAGAGACAAAGGGCCCCCGCCCCTGGCCGCGTCCGGGCGGCGCGCTCGCGGCGGGGGCTCGGCGGGCTGCCCGCGCCCCCGCGGGGAGGGGCGCGCTTTGTGCTGCCGGCCCGCCCTCCGGCGCCGG